AAAATATTTGTTGAAAATATTATTCCATAAAACAATATAGTTTACCCATTATTTATTGTAAAGATATGAATATTGTAAATATAATATGATAAAAATGATAAGAAACAATGGTTAATTTGAGACTTATAAGAGAAAAATTTTATTGTATTATATTAAAATAAAAAGTTACGAATATTAAAAATATTAATTTCTATATTATGAAAAATTGAGAATGAATAAATAAAGTAATAATTTATTATTAAGAGATAGATTTTTATTTATATTTTAATTAATATTTCTTTTATTTATTAAAAATTTATCTAGAAAAAAATAATAAAGATAAAAAACTAATTCCCAGATTAATAAAAAAAAAAAATTAAAAAAATAAAATTATTTAAAAATTGTCAATAAAAGATAAATATATAACTATTTCTTAGTACATTTTTTCAATTATTTTTCCTTTATTTTTTTTTGTTTTTATCTATTTACATTTTTTCTTTTTTTTAATGAATTTTTCGCATCAAATATTATTATTAGCATTATAATATATAATATAAATTTGAATACATAAAAGATCAAATTTCACTATAAAATATTGAATTTATATTTTTAATATTTGTTTATAATTAACTGTTTTATTTGAAAAATATACTATATGTTATAAACTGAATGTTACAAGTATATTAAAATTAACAATAAAATTAAAAATTAATAAAAATTTTCCACTATTGTAAATTTGATAAAATATTTATTTTTTATTTTAATATAATTTTTAAATATTTTTGAAAATCAATTCAAACTTTGATAGATTTTTGTAAATCAAAAATAACCTGTTCCTTTTATTTTTATACATTTTAATAATTTTTATAAATAAAAATAGAGAAAGCAAAAATAAAGCAAACACATAGATCAATATCAAACTATTTTAATATAAATGGATCGACAACAATAAATAAAACGGCAAAAACGAGCAATCAATAAGTATATCAGGAGACCTTACGACTCACCTTATCTTCACGAGAATATTTTTTCCAACATCCAATCATTGAATTATTACCATCAAATAAGCTAACAAAATAGAACAAAATAGAGCAAAATAGAACAAACAACTATAAATCAAATTACAAATCATTCTCATATAAAGAATCATTAGAAGACTACAAAAGATGTTAGCCAAAATTAAAATTATGTCAATTCTATAACTGATTTATATTATTTCCAAAAATCAAATATATTAAACATTTTTATCAAATAAAATAAAATTTTTTTAATATATAAATTAATATAATAATATATAATTAAAATATTAAATATATAATTTTATATATATAAAATTGGAAAAATTGAAAAATTTCCTAAAAGAGATATTTGTAAGGTAATTAGATTAAATATTCCGGTTTATATTTATCATTTATTGATATAATGATAATTTTTACCAATGAAAAATAATTATAATTCAAATAATATTTGAAAAATAATTATAATTTATACAATAAATCGCTATTTATCGCTTGTTTGATGTTAGCAAATTATTAAAAAATTAAATATACGATAATAATATAATATAATAATACATAAAAAAATTTATCAATGAATTATCAACTTCATTCCAAATATTTGATTTTTATTATTATTAACATACAGTTATTTTCAAAATTATTTAGAATTTACAAAATAAAAAAAAGAAAAATACATTTGATTTTTTATAGAAATAGAAAATATTCGAACATATTTAAGCAAGCAATGTTTATTAAATTAAAAGTAAAAATTTTTTTACAAAACTATTCCTATGTAAAATGAATTATAAAATTAATAAAATATAATAAAAATTGAAAAAAAAATGATAAAAAAAATAATTTTGATCATTAATAAAAAATAATTTTTAATATATTTAATTATTTAAAACATGTTAGTTGTCAAAAATGATATCAAATATCAAAAAATTATTTTTGTTTATTGTCATAAATAATTTTTTATTTTCAATTTAAAAAATTCAAAATATAATAATTTTTATATTTTTAAAATAAAAATTTACTGTTTTCTTTATTTTTCT